TTATTTGCTCACTTTTAGTTCTAATCTAAATGGCATTTCTCCCCACCTCAGCTCTTCTTAGTCTCTACCTGTAATTACCTCTGTTGCTACCCTGACCTAAGTTGAAACATTTTAGTCAATTATATTACGTCATCTAACTTACTCATCTAATTCAATCTTACTTTATTTGCTGTCTAATTAACCTTGTTTCTATATTAGATCATTCTTGTATTACTTGATCAATTATCTAAACTTGACAAACCTCATATTTACATAAAAATAATTATATATCAATTCGATTATACAGCTATGTGAATGAATTCGCCGTCGAAAAGAGTCTCTTCGCTGAACGTCTTCTCTTTTTCATATAACTCGATGGGGATTTTCAAGCTACTTAAACATAGAATTTGATGTTGTAAAAAAGAATTGATTTAGAATGACAAGTGTAACAAGTGAAATAATACCGAGGACAGTTCAAAGTTCACCTGACGTAATAAAGTCAGAGAATACAAACTGAATAGACAAAATGAAAAAAGGAGAAATTGGTAAAGCCAAAAATATGATTAGGGATTGCCATACTTTAGCATAGTGGAGGGATTAAGACCATGAAAACTGGAGGGGTTGAATGAACGTTTTCTGTACACAGAGCTCTGGCTTTTCTGTTTCGATAGCCAAAGCTTCAGCAATACAAATGAATCAGGTACGTAGTGACTTGGGCAAATAACTTTTCGCCTTGTAGATGACTTTAAAGGTGGGGTCCGTAGAGATAGGGAGATCATTATCAATCTGATGTTCAGTGATCGCACTTCTTATTGCTCCACTTCCACCTCTTTGTAACAGCCATGCCGGATAGTGTTCTTGCACCCCCTTGGACAAACTTCGAGTCAAACGACCGATATACCTAGCTTGAAACGAGCAGGTAAATTGATAGACTCACCTAGAGGCGGTCGGGCAACTGTGGAATCTTGTCCTTCAGGTTATTTAACAGCGATGGTCGACTAGTACAGGCTATCCTTAAAGATGCAGCAAATAATATTCTTTTCAGGGACTGTGGAATCCTTCTTTTCGTGGTACTGGAAGCTAAATACCCTTTGAATTCCATCTCATGTGCGGTATTTTCTTGGGTACAGATAATAAGTCATATTGCAAAGGTTTTGACTGTACATTCTTGTCTATAACACCTGGTGGAAATCCATTTTCTATTAGGATTTTCCTCAAAAGATTTAACTCTTCCTCCACAGTATGAGGACTACATATGCGGCAATGGCCATTATCAAACTAGAGGACAAGTGAATCACATCGCTCGCCAGACAAGCCTTTGTTGACTGGGAGTTAAATGGAAAACGGTGAGTTTAGTGTTTGTAGGTGACATGAAGGAGGTCATGTGAGGAGATGACAGTCTATTGGCAATCATGGATCCAAACAAAGACAACTGAAGAGGAGAGGTTGCGATGTGAATATGCTGCTGAAACCCTACGCTGTCCTTGGAACCCAAGGAAAAACTATAATAACAATTAATAGTATGTTTTCAAAAGTTGATTTGTTACCTTGTAAATAATTCCCCACCGTAAGGTTTCTGAGGTTCCTTCTTTGTATGGAAATTCTACCGATGATTTAGATTCTCTATTGCTGGTGTTGTCATTATTCTAAGCATGTTTTACATATATGTCATCAATAATATGATTATTATCAGTATCACTACTATTATTTATTTTGTTTTTACACTTTCCTACATGCTTTCTGATTAATTTATCAGAGTGATTATTTAGTTTAGTAGCTTCTCTTATAAGCCTCACTTACTTTCTTAGATTTTCCTTGGTACTACTTAGTTTTTGTGTTCTGTCACTTAAACATTTCACCAATCCTATTTTTACTGACACAAGATGGAATGATCGGAATTCCAAATATCTCTTTGAATGTGTGGGTTTCCTGTAAACACACACTGGTGTGTTTAACTTCCCATCTTCTTTCCTTTTTACGCTACAATCTAACATTAAAAGCTCCACTTCCTCACTGTCCAATTTATAAGTAAATTAAATTGCTTTCACTTTCGAGTTGATGTTTTCGGAAGGTAATGACGATATCAACGATAGGAAATATAAACCATCAGTAGTACTTTAATCCAAAGAAGGAACCCGGGAAACCGTAGGGCGGAGAATCCTCAACAATGTAGGAATAAAAGTGGTTAGCATTCAAACGCGAAATCTCAATTTGAAACAAACTTTGTCGGTTAAAGGATCAGTTCTGTGGAGCCTTTAAAGCTAAACAATTTATTTTATCTAATCGTGTAACCAGAAGGTCCTGGGTTCGAATCCCGCTGGGTGCGTACTGCTGAAGAGTCTCAAACTAGGACAGAACAGCTGTATAGTACTCCTAGGTTTTCCAGTGGTTCTCTAACTGACGTCAGCTCATGATTAAATCCTCCATGCAATCAAACAAAATCCCTTCAAAACCAATACTTGAAAATTTGATTTTTGTCTGTCTTATGTCAACAAACGATTTGTTGATCTTTCCACTGAACTCTACTCTCCATGATAATCAAGAGGATAAACTTAATCAGCCATTAAATGAATATATCAATGAAAATCAACCGGTTCATCAGGAAGATACGAGTAGAAACGTGAGACTTTTAGAGAATACTATACATATTAACCTGTCTAATCCATATGAATTATACGTTCATTTAACAATGTTAAATAACGAACTATCACTCCATATTATACATGTACCCCAACAATACAGTTTCCGATATAATTTTCCCATACCTTTAATGTCTATTTGTATTCTTCTAATATTCATGGATTTATAACTGCACAGCCTTAGGAAAAATTTGATTGAAAACAATTGTTCACTCAAAATCATCCCCTTTCTGATTACACTATGAAGATTTTTAATTTACAAAAATGTAACTGTCAGGATAGTGATCCATTCCACAATGCACAGTCTTTTCACAGATAATATAAACTTGTAAAGAATATATTCTCAGAATTTCCCATTGTATTATGTATACTCTACCATGAATTGTAATTTTACAGAGATTTTAATGTGACCTCAACCACTGAATTGAATTCTCATCACTCACTGAGAAATGCAGGTACATCCAGCTGATGAGTCCCAAATAGGACGAAATGCGCATCCTGGATTCCACTGCTAGCCACCATCCACCCTTTGTATACTAATTAAATGCCCAGACATCGTCGAAGCATCTGCACAGGAAGCCGACATGTGAACCTGAGACCGAGCACTTCGGTCCAAACAATCGACGGGAACATCAAAAATTCAATTCAATAATAATATGACCCATTGCACAAGAGGTGGCTCTCGCGGCCCAAGTGGTCTAGTGGATAACACTTTGGCGTTTGAAACTATGGGTAGTGGGTTCGAGCTTCGGTGGGAACGTAATCACTCACTGAGAAATGCAGGTACATCCAGATGACGAGTCCCAAATAGGACGAAATGCGCGTTATCCTGGATTCCCTGCTAGCCACCATCCACCAATTGTGATCACCAACCAGTTGGTTGCTGTTCGAATTGACTATATGGTCAACGAACTTCGTTTTTGTAACCGAAAGGTCCCGGCTTTGATCCCTGGTAAGGTTGTGGGTGAGTGCTGATGAGGTGTCCCAAACTAAGACGAAACAGCTGTTTAGTTTTCCGTGGTTTTCAGTGATACCTTAAATATAATTCATCTGTGATCAAACCTCTAAAAAGTAACACATGACAGTCATTATTATTTATTCAAGTTAGTTTTCTTATTGCATCAAAACAATATCATGTTAGTCGAAAGACATATTCAAAGCTTCTGTAATAGGGGTCGAAATTTCAACGGAGATGAACATTTCAGGTCAAATAATAATTAATCAGCGGGAGCTACCAGTCAAACTGAAATCAATAATAACTAATGCACCTTGCACAGGAGGTGGTTATTTTGGCCTATATAGCCTAGTCGTTCATCATTTGACCTTTAAAATGGTCGGTATGGGGTTTGAGTTCGTCACTGGGAACACCATGAATCACAGGGGATTGCAGGTACATCAGATGTATACATACATTTCGACCTTTGCATCCTTAGGGGAATATACGCCTTCAAGGTGAAACTTTGAAGTTTCAATAGTTTTATTACTCCTTGTCGGACTTACGACCGTCTAAAGAAGGTAAAAGAAGCATTCATCGGCAGGGAATTGAACTCCCGACTATATGAATGGTTGGTGAGCATTTTACTACTGAGCGACCAAGGCATATGGTATACCAGGGTAATGCGTTCTAGCGAGGGGACGAAAAGTGCATCCAGTGCTTGTCAGTATTCAGTAAACAAAAGCCGTTACTGATACATGTGTATAGCTGAATCCTTAGTAGACAATCACATCAATTCTAAAGTAAACTGGCGTTATCATTGGACTTGAAACCATCCTTCAGTAATTCGACTTCATAAATAGCTGAGATCAGTTAGAGAACTATTGAAAAACCTGGAAGTAGTGGACAGCTGTTTTGTCGTAGCCTGGGATTCTTCAACAGTACTCACCCATCGGGGTTCGATACCAGGACCTTCTGGTTACAAGGCCAGCTCTTAGACCTATCAGCAGTCACTGAGATCCAATTCAATAGCCCATGAAATCTTACAATCAAGCAAAAAAAAATCCCTACAAAACCAATACTTGAAAATTTAGTTACAGGATTTCACCATGAGCTGACATTTGTTAGAGAACCATTGGAATCCAGCTGGAAGTACTGGACAGCTGTTTTGTCCTAGTTTGGGACTCTTCAGCATTGGAAATTTGTTTCTTTATTTACGTATCCATTGATAAACGTCCTGAAAAACCCAAGCTTAACAAAAAAGACATCTTCTTGTTGATGAATATCTCCTGGCTATACTTCTCTTTTTTCTTTCTCAGTAGTAGTCAAAACAAAAATATTTTTTATTTATGTGAGTAACTCTCATTAAATCACCTTTCAATCTCCATCTATCTTTATCTAATTTCCATTATCGATATCCTTATGTGTCTTCTTATTATTACAACTAGATTTTTGTCTGTCTTATGTCAACAAACGATTTGTTGATCTTTCCACTGAACTCTACTCTCCATGATAATCAAGAGGATAAACTTAATCAGCCATTAATGAATATATCAATGAAAATCAACCGGTTCATCAGGCAGATACGAGTACAAACGTGAGACTTTTAGAGAATACGATACATATTAGCCTGCCTAATCCATATGAAATTAATTTGAACACCGGGACTGTTAGTTTATTTCCAGAGGTGAATGAAAAATGGATTGATAATGCGGAATTATTTAACCAATTGTGGTTAACTTCGGTACGACGAATATCAGATAGAGACATTAATGACGATGACTTAGCCACTGGTCGATTGATGAATGACGAAGGAGAGAAGGACATGTCGAATGTATATCATCTATGGATTAGAGGTAGGTAAAATTACACAAAATTGACAAAACTGTCATCAAGGTGGGCTTAATTACACCTTAGATGTATTAGCAAAAAACTATTGCTGTGTTCGTTTTCAGGTTTCATCAGAAATGGAACGTCGTTAATTTTTTCTGATTACAACGCTGGTATTTAGCGATTGTATTCATATTTGTTAGTTGCGTCTTATAAGTTTAACTGATACATTATAGAGTGTAAGAAAACGTTCACTAGTCAAGGATCAGTAAACGTTCTCTCACAGTATTCAGGTGATAATGTTGAGCATAGCTTCTCAAAAGTCACTATTTATAATGAGTAGACTGCTACTGATTGAAGTGATCTTTCAAATGCGTTTGGAATGATCCAGTGAGCTTCAACACAGAGCTTTGTTATTAAAGTATTGGTATGGAAGGATTTGAATGATTGGTTACACGATTTCATCATGAGCTGATATCGGTTAGAGAACCATTGAAAAACCAGCTGGGAGTACTGAACAGTCAGCTGTTTCGTCCTAGTTTGGGACTCTTCATCAGTACGCACCACCGGGGGCGGAACCCAGTGTCTTCTGGTTGCCTGGCGAGCTTGGTCGCCCTACGTCGTGTATTGGCAGAAGCTGGAATTCATGGGCCATTGAATCGGGTCCCAGTGCCTGCTGAATGGTCTAAGAGCTCGCTAGCTTTGTAACCAGAAGGTCCTGGTTTCGAATCCTGGTGGTGAGTACTGATGAAGAACCCTAAAATGGGCTGATGAAACAGTTATCTATTACTTCCAGCTGGCTTTCCAATAGTTCTCTAATTGATATCAGCTCATAATGAAATCCTGTAATCAATAGAGGTTTGTATTGAAGAGCAGCAGCTCAAGTTGTCACACTCCATGCGGTAAACAAAATTAGACAAAAGAGAAGAAAAGAAATTCGAAAGAAATATACTAATCGGAAAAAAGGGAGAAAGAACAGTGACATGGAAAACCATGGCGTCATGAAGAATGTTTATTGATTTGAGTCATACCGGTAACAGTATCCAGCTATTAGTTATTAGCAACGTGAGGACTCCAGTCAGGCAGCCTGAGCTGATTCCAGTTTTCCATTTGACTATCCCAAACTCTTCTTCAACCTGATCCTATGTTGGCCAACACGGCTGGTCCAGGGAGGTGATAGCCTGACTTTCAACTGTGTTGTCAGTGAGTTCTTTAGAAGAGTTTGAAAGTAATCAGAAGCCATAAAGATCCACTGCCTAATTGTTTAAATAATCTCTTGACATTATTTTTACTATTTGAAATTAGCGGCAATTTATTGTTATTTCTTTTCTCTTCCATTACAGGAACGAAAATGGATGAAGATAAAATTCAGACTAAGCTGTTCCGAACTACTTTAAAGTAAGCAGTGTGAATCATTCAACTGATCAGTGGAAATGCTCCTTTTTTGTTGTTATAACGATTTTTTATTCAGAACTATCTAGCTTTGACTAACTTATAACTTCTTGCTAATATTCTACTGACAAGTGTTTGAATTTCTGAACTCTTATTTTTGCACTTAGAAATAATAACAGACTGAGCGAAGAAATACGCATTCCTTTTCAGTTAGCAGTTCGTCATTACTGGCTTACTTACTTTTACTTTACTTCGGCTATCTCCTACGGGAGGATGAGCCGGCTTCATGAACCATGAAGTTTCATGGGAATTGGGTACGAGTGATGTCCCCAGCATCGCTCGGCCTTTGTTTGAGAGTGCAGCTCTAGCCTTTACACAACTAAGTGTGACCTACAAGGCAGCAGGAGTGGAGTAGGGAGTCCACTATCCATTGGCAGCCGGTGACCGGACTCCGGTTCATTCACCTTTTTGAATGGGGCCAGTCATCCAGGGCATCCAATAAGCCCTTTGTCCATACGTCTGCCGGTGAGCTCCGGTGAGCTTCATACGCCAGTCGTTGGAGGTATGAAATCAGGGTTTAGCCATCTCCCCTCGACTGTCATCCAATGGATAGTCAACCCGGTGAAGAGCGCCGGGCATCCGCTTTTGCCCTCTCACTTTGGTGACAAACACCTCCGCCACGTGAAGGCAGTGAGTAGGACTTCCTCAGGAGAGGCTATGTAAGACGCCCGGTCATATGGGAGCATTTCAAGAGGTGTACGGAGGGGTGGCCAACACGCAGCGCAAGACACCCACCCCCGACCATCCTGAGGCTTTGGAGGCTCATTACTGGCTGGATAGCTCTAAACTAATATATAATTTTTTAAAATTAAAACTTTTCCCAATCAAGTGGTCATTTTAGCTAATTAGTTTTAGGTATAAAGGGAGGCGGGGGGGGAGTAGGGTGAAATTTAAAGGTCAAAAGTTATCGAAACAGAGCTGATTCTCTGGCTTTGTAACAAGTTATTACATAATCAAAAAATTCGTAAAAGAACAATAATGACTAAGAATAATACGATGACTCAGAAGAATTACACAAATTATAAACAAGTTAATGGAATTACCTAAGTTATGCTGTGTGTTCACTAAACAACTAACACTTAGTTCAAGAAATGAAGACGGACTTATCTGCTTCGCCTCTTCCATATATATATATATATATATAACAATTTAACTGTCCCTGCAGAGGTAGTTACATTTGGCGTGCGGTCAAGCAAGTTCATTGTCGAATTTCCGAATACTTCCCATCTTGGTTTGGCGAGAGTCCGAATAAAGCTGCTATATGCAATTCAATAATGGCTCATCTCATCAGTACTGGACATCAAGTTGAATCTGACAAAGCTTTTAAAGTTATTTATCGTATATCACCCAACCTCTCGCCACATGGTTTACGAGTACAACTTTTATATATATTAGGAACAATCAGAATTCATCTGAAGAAATCAAAATGTGTGTTCAAAAGAAATTTGTACAGCCCCTTTCTTGGCCAACTTTGGCCAACTATGCGTCGGTGGCACAGTGGTTAGGACTCTCGCCGACCGTGCACATGGTCCAGGGTTCGAGCCCACGCCGACGCACACCTGATATCTATGGTCGGCCTGAGAATTTTGGGCTACCGATATCCACTCTGAAAATTCCATACTTGTACCAAAAATAAGGTGTGGAATCAAACTGTAATAAAAAATAAAAAATAAATAAATTACCTCTACCCTTGTAACACGATCTTTTGACTTTGTTCTATTAACTTGTTTGTGTTTTGCGTAATTCCCCTGAATCATCCTTTTCTTCTTAGTCATCATCACTATTCTATGAATTTCTTGATTATATAATAACTTGTTGCCAACGCCTAGGAATCAACTTATCTTGAATTCCATAATTAATTTTCACCCCTCTTTTAAACCTTAGATATCTTGTTAGTATTATCGATTAGCTAAACGTTTTGTGCGTCGGTGGTACAACGGTTAGGACGCTCACCGACCATTCACATGGTCCGGGGTTTTGATCCCCGGCCGACGTACTCCTTTACCTCACTAAGCCACTTAGAATAGCTGGTAAGGAGAAAAGGTTGGGCATAAAGCTGGCAACCCCATCGTGTAAAAATCAACACCAGTGCTACAGTATACGTCAAGCCTCTAGCTTGAAGCCCCCCTATGTTCCACTGGGAACGTGAAGGAAAAAAAATTTGTTTTGATGACTTCTAACCTCAATTTCACCAACCCTGCCTATATCTAAAACTGATTAACTAAAATGACCACTTGATTGGTAAAACTTTTAATTTAATAAAACGATATATTAGTGTAGAGCCAGCCAACAGATTATGAAGAACTCTGAAGCGACCAACAACCTATCTGTCAGCCAGCAGTTGTGCAGAAAAAAGTAACGATGGGTTGAAAATACACTGAGAAGACATTCAATTGACTTAAGATGCCAGCCTCTTGAGTGAGATCGAAATTGGTGAGCACTGAGTTGTGCGTTCAAGGATAATATGAAGAAGATTATGTGAAGACCAGGTGAGAGCTTTTAGGCATTTGCACAGGCAACTATAAATAATGTGGGCAAATGCAGTGTTACGCTCATATGCTGGATATGATCTATGTTTCATACTAAACCAAGAGGAATTAATAACAATGATATTTAAGAAGGATATCTATCATCATGACATTCAACAGAGAACATTGAGTATTATTAAAAAGAATTTCTTTTCATAGACTTTATTTATATAGCCATGCAACCATATCTGAATAGGATTTTTATAGGTAAGCGTATTCAATGTGTTAAATAAAGCGGTTATTCTATTATGGGGGATTCAGTTTGTTTCAAGTTCGGTCACTTATTACTATTATCAGTTAGTGAACTGATATGTATCCATATATATATATATATATATATATATATGTATGGTGGTCTCTCTTTCTGTTTGCTCGCTTAGTCTGTGACCATTTCACTTGTATGAACCTGTCTCCTTTAACAATGTATATTCTCCTTATATTATATATAATATGAGTGTTTGTTGACAGTCCGTTGCTTGGTGACATATATCCATATATGGTGGTTGTTGACATGTCTGCTATATTTTGCTATGTATATATGGATCGATACTTCATTATAATTAGCCATTCATGTTAAGACTGTCTAATGATTTGTTCACACACTTTGTCTGCAACATTTCATATATATATTTCGTTCTCACAATCTTGTGACTATACTTACTTTGGTGTGATACCACTTATTGCGTCTCCTTGTGTTTGGAAAATAGAAGTATCATCGCAAACCTAGTGGTCTTCTGATTTCCGCCTTCTTGCAACAGGACTATTAAATTCTCGACCAGTACATAACAATAATTTGGCGACGGGGAAAACTACTATTAACCACTCAGCAGCAGCAACATAACATGAACCACCGGGAACCAGGCAGTACTGAAGAGCTGTTTCATCCTGGTTTGGGATTCATCGACAGTATAAACCCACTGGAACTCAGACCGAATACCTTCCGGTTACAAGGCAAGCTCATATATCATGCAGCCACTGTAACTTGATTCAGTCATCAATCAACTCTTTTTGGCATCACTTTATGGTCAGAGAAGTGGTTGGACTGATCCGTTTCATTTCTTTTTTAATTTTTATTTTTTATTTACAGCTTGATTCCACACTGTATTTTGGGTACAAGTATGGAATTTTCAGCATGGATATCGGTAGGCCAAATTTTGCAGGCCGACCATAGATATCAGGTGTGCGTCGGTGCATTGAGTGAATATCTATATGCGTGTGTGTGTGTGTGTGTGTGTGGCTATTATCCTAGCAGTAAAAAGGATGCGGATGCTTGTCAAGTTCAGGAGATGTTGCCTTACATTATAAATAATCTTCAGTGAAATATCCCTTTTTTAGACACTGGTGAGATTTTGAGGATCTGTTCAATAAGGGCATCTCTAATCGACTCACTGTTACGACTATGCAACCATGTAGGATGATCTTTCTTTGCTTGTTTTCATAACAGTGACGTCAAGTGACCGATATACTGTACAGTTATGCGAATGAATTCCTTTGAAATACAAACTGTCCATCTTTATTAGTGATGCTATTTAAAAAACAAACAACCTATTGCGAATCTTTGAGAATTAGTAACGGACTAGGTCATATTTCGGATTCCGCCAATAAGAAATTATTCCGAAGAAGAAGAAAACTAGTCGATAAAGGTATAAAACTTGAGCATAGTGGTAGAGTATATATAACTTCATTATGGATAAGATTTTCTACTATGATAAAGTCCCACACAGTGTTGTACAGTAATACTGACTGATGACGTTCTCTGTAAAGGTTGGCTTAGTTATTGAGTGTCCAACAAACCGAGCAGTATCACTAAGTAGTACAACAACAGACCCAAACGATGAAACGAAACCGAGAGAAGAATAGCTGGTTGGTGTTAAATAACTAACGATCCTGTAACATTCATTAGGAATATTAAAAAAGGTCAAAGGCGAAATAAAAATAATAGTGAAACCAAACAGTGATAACATAAATAAGAAAGAATATAAGGCATATACAGTTGTGCCATATAAGTAGACAACATTTGAGACTTTACGTAGGATTCTCACGAAAGCATCGATAAGGAGTGGCATTTAAACCTATAAATTCATTCTCGTAGGACAAGCTCTGTAGGCTGAAGGACCCTGTTGACCCAAATTAGGCAGAATAATATAATTTACAAAATACCTTGCAATGACTGTGAGTTCATTCAACTACATAGGTCAAACTAGTAAGTAGATCAGGTGTAGTGAAATTATCAGAATATATAAGAATTTAGCTAGGGTTAGAATGATTTGTCTCACAAAGACAGATGAGTAATTTACAAGAAAGAACTCAGCAATTGCACTACATGTAATAACATACAGCCACACAATACAGTGGGAGGGATGGAGTTGAAATTCTAAGGAGTAATAAAGGTAGGTGGAGAGAGAGAGAGAGGTTGACTACTGAATCCGGCCTGGTTCATCGAGTCTTCACCCAACATATGAGCAATAGAAGTGACACAACGCAAATACCAGAGATGATACCAGAAGATGAATAATGTTAGAGTGTATTCAGTATACATTATAACATAATAATAATAATAATAATAATTGCTTTATTCCAAAAACAGTACTCATGATACAGCAAGGAATTTTCAGCATTCAGTACAATATTGCATCTAATTTACCCAAAAACGACAAAAAAAATTAAAAATACACAATACATAATAGTAATAAAACGATTGTTGTAGCAGCTACGTAGCAAAATACTGTGTGCCATACGGAGAAAAATATGTATAAAGTACAAAATTGTAGTAATAATAGTAATACCAACTAATATAAAATAGCAGAGTAACGATTTAAACGATAGAAAGTGTAACACCATAAAATACAGAAAGATGAACGATAAAAGGGTCGATTCACTGTGCTAATTACATAGTAACTTGTAAGTTTCACGTCTAACAGAGTCTTCGTCACATAAAGTACGCGCTAAATAGGGTATTGTAGAATTTCTATACTTAGTAGTACGAGCATATATCTTTTTATATTGACTTCTCGTCCTACCTGATGAGATACAAGGGGACAGGTGTGAATAAAGGGGGTGCAGAGGGTCTGACATTATAGCCTTTGCCCATTTCGTACAGGAATTTATATGCCTCTCGACTATAGTATTAGCGAGCTCATGCAGTGGCAGACCACAAGCTCTACTCACAGCATTTAATACTCTTCGTAATATGATATAATCTTTTTTGAGCAGCCCAGGAAAGATTAATGGAGAGCAGTAGAGTACAATAGGTAAAATACAGGAGTTTAAAAATTGCAAAACTAAAGGTTGGTTGATACCTGATTGTCTTAACTTTTTAATGTAGAAGGTAAGACGAAACATTTTCTTAGAGATAGATAAGATATGGGATGACCATGAAAGGTCAGAGGAAAAAACTAGTCCAAGGTATTTAATACTTGATTTGGTTTCAATTTCCGTGCCATCTATGCTACAGGGATCATGAGAGTTAACTAGTTCAAGTAAGTCACGTCGATGCTTGAAAGTAAAGTCAAGCACCTGACATTTGGAAGGATTTAATATAAGACCATTTGACTTGGACCAGTTGTTGATGTCCAACAGAAAGCTATTAAGTTTGGAGCTGTCAGACTCGGAAGTGATAGGCAGTGATACAGTCAGATCATCTGCATATTTAACAAAGTTAGTTTCGTTTGAATGAGGCAGGTCATGTAGGAAGAAAGAAAAAAGAAAAGGAGAGAGGACAGCACCTTGTGGAACACCGGATTTTGTAAGCGAGGTAGAAGAAGATTTGCCGTTATATACAGTATACTGCATTCTATCAGAAAAATAGGAATGCAACCAACTCTTAGCCCAGGATCCTGTTTGTGTCAACGATAGCTTATTTAACAAAAGGCCCCTAGGTACAGAGTCAAAAGCAGATGTGTAGTCTAAGAAAGCACTACGAACATATTTAGCACCTTTGTCTAAACAAGAGACAACATTGTGATATAAGACAACCGCAGCATCCAAGGTACTTCTACCATGTTTGTATGCAAATTGTTTAGGATCATTAAAAGGTTTCAAAGCGGGTTCAAGACGAAGTAAAAGTAATTTTTCCATCAATTTTAAAAAGGGGGAAGTAATTGCAATAGGCCGAAATTTAATATCAGAACCAGAAGATGGTTTTGGTATAGGGATAATTTTAATGTTTTTCCATGCAAAAGGTAGAACGTTACCGGAAAAAGAGGCATTAAAAATGTTAGTAAGAGGATAACACAAAATATCAGCACAATTCCTGAGGACAATGGCAGGTATGCCGTCAGGACCAAGGCTTTGAGAAGGCTTAAGAGACCGGAGACATTTAAGCACATCAAGGGTATTAAAACCACTAAAGTTATTGTCAATATGATTTGTATCATTTGGAAGGGTATCAACAGAAGAGCGTATGAAAGATTTATTAAGAGTGTCAACATTAAGAGATGGAACAGAAATACATCGCTTACCGTTAGTAATTTCTTTGAAAAGTTTCCATAAATTAGAAGGGGTTTTACATGACAAAAATCTTTGATTATATAAAACACTTAGTCTTTTTATTTCCAGTTTTATCAGCATGTTTAACTTTTTTACACCAGGCTTATCATTAGTTTTGAACAACAGTTCTTTATTTCTACGTAGCTTTTTGAGATATGGCGAAGATAAGCGATCAAATCGGATGAATAATGTTTCTTTAGGACAACACATTTCGAAACAGAACATCCTAACAAGTTACTTATTTTGACTATAAAAACATTCGTCTTATCTCCCTTCTGATTGTATTTCATTGATAACACTCATATTATTATTTCTGAATGTACATTATCCTATACTGATTTTTACTCATATGTCTAATCATCAGTTTTTTACTCATGTATATAAATGAAGTAGGAAAGTTGTGTGAGTAGTGTCTTGATATGATTATGAGTAGTAATAAATTTTGCTTGAAACGTGGTCATCAGTAATATTACTTACTGTCTAACACTACTGTGTGACTTTATCAAAATAAAATCTTATCCATGATAGAGAGAACTTGTCATTTCTATAAACATCAACTGAGTGGAATTAATTTCATCTGCAGTTGCGTTTTGGATTCGCAGCTCTGAACAGTCTCAAAGTATTACGAGACATCTTTCCAGTGTTTCGTGGTTATCAGTGATCTTGATAGCAGCAGTTTAAAATCTTTCCGATTCGATTCTGAGTGTGATATTTACAGGCGTTTTAATTTATTATTATTGTATCCTTTAGTTCCTAGAGGAACATAGGGCTTCAGCTCCGCACCTACATTGCCTTCTCTTTTCTGAAAACTTTTTCATCCCGCTCCAGTTCTGTCCACATGCTTTCATATCCTCCTCGCATGACCTCTTCCAAGTCACCCTCGGACAACCAGCTCGCCGCTTCCCTTTCGGGTTCCACTCGAGGGCTTGTCTAGTGATGTCACTTGATGGTTTCCTCAGAGTATGGCCAATCCATCTCCATTTCTTCCTGTCTATTTGTTGCACAATCGGTTCCTGCTGGGTTCGCTCCCAGAGATTCCTGTTGCTGATCTTTTCTAGCCATCTGATCTTGAGTATTGAGGGAAGACAACTGTTGTTGATGAAGGTCTGAAGTTTGTTGGAGATGCTGTTGATGACTGGCCAAGTCTCTGATCCGTATAGTAGCACTGACTTTACATTGGAGTTGAAAATCCGGATCTTATTTTTGATACTGAGTGCTGTTGACCTCCACACAGATTTGAGAGTAATGAAAGCTTGTCTTGCTTTTCCGATTCTGGCTTTGATATCCTCATCAGTTCCGCCTGTAGTTGAAACGATGCTTCCTAGGTAGGTAAAGGAGGCTGTTTCTTTCAGGTTCCTCCCATTTATGCTGACTGTTGTCTGTTGTCGTTGCTGTTGATGTTGGCCAGGAATCTTCGTCACCTCTGTTTTATCTATGTTCACTTGAGATCCTATCTTTGATGCTTTTGTCGCCAGCTTGTTGCTTTTCACTTGCATATCTTCCAATTTGTGGGAAATCAGACATATATCATCGGCGAAGTCCAGATCCTCCAAGTCTTTTGTGTGAGTTCACTTTATGCCTGTTCCCTTGTTGGTTGCCGTTGTCTGTCGCATTATCCAATCTACTGCAATCGGGAAGATCATTGGTGATAGTAGACAGCCTTGTCGCCCTCCCGTTCTTACTTCGAAGGCTTCCGTAAGTTTCCCGTTGTGGTTTTTAGCTAGTAAATCATCATTCTGTTAAATAAATATTTTTATACTTTGCTACTCTTTGCACAATAACTTTGTTTGTTATTATTTTGGAAGCTTTCCACGAAGCGAATCTCTGGATCATCCATTTGAGATGAATATTGAAGAAGCGAATGAAGATCTTTACAGCCAACCAATACAAATACATTCCAATAAATTACTGCAATGCAGGTAAGTATGCATGTTAAACCGAATACCAAATATAATTTGCATTTAACTATGTATGACTATCCTAATTGAATAATCTAAGTGTACGGACTTTCGAGTTTGTTTTCAACGGAGTGTTTATCATTAGAGATTTAGCCATACAACCCAAAAACTCATTAACCTTACTATAACTATAAATTGGTAGTCAGGCTACCCTTAACATCTCCCACCTATTGCAATACGAATGTAACACTTGCGTCTGTTCTAGAATGGATTTAGGAAGGGGGGTACTTAGAGTTTATAAGAATAAAAACAGAATATTCAGTGAAGAGACTCACTCCAACAACGAATTTATTATCAAATTGTACAATCGTATTTACATGTCGTTTTTAAGAAATTATATCTGGTGAGGGAATTAGGTCAAAGATGTGAATACATGAAGCAATAATAATAGCTGTAGTATGACATGCTAATAAAATATTTCTGATTATAATCATAGTGAAATGTCAAGTAGCGAAACAATCAGTGTCATATAGAGAATAATTCATAAGGTGTATGGATGTTGGAAAGGGGTGCATAATTCTAGAGCACCGAGATCCCTGTTTCTGATCGTGGGTAGTATTGAAGGAAGACAGCTGTTGATGAAGGTCTGTAGTTTGTTTGAAGTGGCCTTCGTGATGCGGCTCTGAGCTAAGTTTCTGATCCATATAGTGGTACTGACTTCACATTGGAGTTGAAAATTCGGCTCTTATTTTCATTTTCATGCTGAGTAGTGGTGTTGACCTCCACACAGACTTAAGAGTAATGAAAGCTTGTCTCGCCTTCCCGATCGTCAATGCTTTGATATCCTCACCAGATTCGTCCATCTGTAGTTGAAACGATGCTTCCCAGGTAGGTAGCTAGGTAGGTGAAGGATTTCACCTATTTATGCTGATTGTTGTCTGTTGTTGTTGCTGTTTTCTTTGACCAGGAATCTTCATCATCCAACCTCTGTTTTCTCTTTTTTTCACCTGAAGTCCTATCTTCTCTGGATGCTTCTTCTATTGCCAACTTGTTGCTTTTCACATGCATATCTTCCAGTTTGTGGGAAATCAAACATATATGACATCGGTGAAATCCAGATCCTCCAAGTATTCTGTGTGGGTGCATTTTATGCCTGTTTCGTCGATGCCCAGTTTGTGTCGCATTATCCAGTCTGCCGTCTGTAATCAGGAAAATCATTGGAGATAGTAGGCAGCCAGACAGCCTTCCTTGTCTTACTCCCGTCTTCACTTCAAATTTATTCAAGTCAGAATGCTTAAAAAAATTTATAGCACTAAATCCAGTAAAATGTTTGTGAACATTATCATAGTACTCAGTATTAAGCGACAAAACAAGTGATGCTATGTACAAAATAGTTCAAAGGATGTATACATCATGAGAAAGGATGTAAAGTTAATAGGAATAATAATTATTTAAACGATCCGCGTTATTTCAAAATGCAGTATTTACCATTCAGCATGGAATTCTCAGCATTTGTCATAATATCGCATCTGTTGTTGTTGTTCCCTTGGGTTCCTAGTGGAACATAGGGCTTCAACTGCACGTCTCCACTTGCTTCTGTCTTCTGCTGCTGTACTTTTCACCTGCCTCCATCCATGTTAGTCCATACTGTTTCAGCTCCTCTTCACACGATCTCCTCCATTTCACCTTTGAATGAGTGAATGAGTGAAGTAACCCCTTTCAAATCCCTCCTGTTGATGGTGATTGGCACTGGATGTTTCTGCTGTTGTTGTTGTTGTTGGTTGGTTGGTTGGTTATTTTCATAACCTCCGTCTTGTCTATGTTCACTTGGAGTCCTATCTTTGTCGACTGCTTCTTCGACCAGTTTGTCGGTTCAACGCACAAATTTACTGAAAATATCGCATCTTATTTACTCAAAATATAAATAAAATTAACCAGAGGAACCTGTCCATTTTTACAGTAGGAATAAAGTCAAAAATGTGTAAAGTACAAAACAAGAATAATAACTATATTAATAATACTAATAACAGTGGGTTTGTTTCAAGCAATATCGTCGATACAGTTTGGAAATTTTAGCATGTTATAGAGTATTGAATCTATTTATCTGATTGATATTATTTTTTTTTTTTTTTTTTTTTTTCTATCATATTTAGTCGTTCAAAAAACCAGGTCAAGCATCATTTTCGTTTTGGTAGTGATGTCTATCTCCTGTTGGTTCGCAGGGATTAGATTTCATTGGCTACAGAATTTCATCATGAGCTGACATTAGTTAGAGAACCATTGGTAGACCTGTAGAGGGAGTACTGGACAGCTATTTTGCCAGCCTAGTTTGGGATTCCTCATCGGTACGCACCCACTTGGGGTTCAACCAATGATCTTTCGGTTACAAGACAAGCTACCTCGTAGACCATTCTGTTCGGTTCTCTGTTCTGTTTTCAACATAAAACTTTGCGCATATGTGCGGCAGTTCAAGTCGCCACACTCCATGTACCACACAAAGCAACAGAAGAAAGTAGAGGAAATGCTTAATAGAAACAGTAAACAGAGGTGTGAGATAAAGAAATAGTAATAACGAAGAACTGTGTAGTTTCATTGGAAATCATAGGTCACAAGGAGTGTATGCATCTGTGCCAGCCATTGAGAACGACCACTTTGAGCCATATCACCAATTGTTTCCAACCTGTGCGTCGGTGGCACAGCGGTTAGGACTCTCGCTGACCATGCATATGGTCCGGGGTTCGACCCCCTGCTGACGCACACCTGGTATCTATGGTCGGCCTGCAAAATTTGGGCTACCGATATCACATGCTGAAAATTCCATACCTGTACCCAAAAATACGGTGTGGAATCAAGCTGTAATCAAAATAAAAAAATGAAAAAAATAATGTTGTCTTGATACAGCATAGTGAGGGCAGAAACAAAAAACATAACAATTGTTATAGCGCTTAAATGATGTCTACACTTATGAGAAAGTAAACAAAATATAAAAATTGAGAGGGTTGTAAATACAAGAATAATAATAATAACAACAAAGCTTAGTGGAATATGAATGGAGGAAATTGTTTTTTATTTACTAGTGATGAGAAGATCAGTTATTTCACACCTGACACCATTTTATTCACATAAAGCACGTTCCAAATATGATATTATAGAATTTTTTATACTTAGATGAACGTGAAATGACTTCATTTTCCACCTGAGAAGGAAAAGGCAAGGTGAAAACTGCGGGTAAAAAGTGAATGCTCACAGTCTGACAAAATTAATTTAGCGAATTTGTTGCACGAAATCAAGCGCCTATCAATGGTGATAAGATCAACGATATGGTCCACTGGGATACTTAATCTTTGCCCTACTGACAGTCTAGGAAGAGTGTCCTAGGAAGTTCGAAAAATAATCTTTTTTAATCAACCAAGAAAAGATTAAGGGTGAGCAGTGAAAAGAAGAATAGGTAAAGATTGTCTTAACTTCTTAGTGGAAAATTTCAGACGGAGTATTTTTAACTACTAGAAATCGCTAAAATGTGGGAAGACAAGAATAGATCAAAAGGATTAAGTAGTCCAATATACTTAACCTCTGGCATGATTTCTATATTAGTAACATCAATTTTACAACGATCATGGGAATCAACAGCTTCATCGTTTAACTTTCTTTTACATCGGAAACTGAAATTAACAATCTGACATTTTGAAGGATTTTGATGTAAGACAGATCATTAGACAAAGACTATGCACTGAATGCTGTTAGAAAGCTGTTCATATTAGTACTATAAGGTTAGTAGGCAAATAAAAAATTGAGTGATAGGGTGAGAATTTCTATAACGTAGATTCTAACGTTGTTAAAAATTTTGGTTCAAAATAATAAATAGGGAGAGTGGAGTAGCAATTGAAACAAAAATAATAATTATTATTATTGTATCCTTTAGTTCCTAGAGGAACATAGGGCTTAAGCTGAGCACCTCCATTGCCTTCGGTTTTCTGACAACTTTTTCACCCTGCTCCAGGTCTGTGCACATCCTTTCATATCCTCCTCGCATGACCTCCTCCAAGTCACCCTTGCACTGACGACCAACTCACCGCCTCCCTTTCGGGTTCCACTCGAGCAATGGCTTGTCTAGTGATGTCACTTGTTGGTTTCCTCAGCGTATGGCCAATCCATCTCCATTTATTCCTGCCGATTTGTTTCACAATCGGTTCCTGCTGGGTTGGTTCGCTCCCAGAGATCCCTGTTGCTGATCTTTTCTGGCCAGCCATCTGATCTTGAGTAGTATTTAGCGGAGACAGCTGTTAATGAAGGTTTGAAACAAAAATAATACCAATCCTAATGATAAGACAAGGTACATAGAATAAATAATAAAAATGTAAAAAATATTATATGATTAGTACTCCATTGGGTTCCGATTGGACCACATCTCCAGTTTCTTCTACTCGCCGCTGTCGTCTTCATAGGGCTAGCTCCACGATTACTCATAATCTCTAATCTTCTCTTCCACCTCCCATCGACGACCCACTCGTCGCTTCCCATTCACCTTCCACTCGAGCATCTGCCTGCATTGCGCGCGATGTCATTCGACGTCCTTCTCAATGTATGCCCACTTTATCTCCATTTTCTCCCGCATACTGGTTGAGCAATCGGATCTTGGTTGATTTATTCTCAGCCAGTGGCTCTTGTTGCTAATTCTTGCTGGCTAGCTGGCCGGCCGGCCGGCCGGCAATTCAATATTCATTATGGAGCCAGCGAAGTGCGCAACTGTTGATAAAAGTTTGTAACAAGCTATTGGAAATTCCTTTTGTGATACGCAGTGCACGTTTCCAACTGACCCTTGTAGAAGCAGTGGCTGACTGACTTCACATTTGTGTTGAATCGAATCCGAATCTTGTTTTTTATGCTGGTTGAGTGAGTGAATCAGAAGATTTCCAAACTGGTTTCAGGTTGATGAAGGCGTATCTTGCCTTTCCGATTCTAGCTAGCTGGCTTTGACACCTTCATCTGTGCTGTCCCACTGCCTGTGGTTGTAACGATAA